TTAGATATTCATGAACAATAATGTTGAACCATTAAATAAAATTCTCTTTGCAAATTGCTTATAGAATTATTGATGCATAGGAAAGTTAAAATTATGCATTGTAATTAGTTAACTTAAAAGCAAAACAAGTTTTCCTTATATAAGCTTTTTATCATTTAGATTCATTTACTTATAAACACAGTGTATTTCAAGTTTTCTGTTTTAAAACTTTCTCTGAAAATCTTCAACACAATAATTTAACCTAACAGTCCAAATGTTCCTAAGACAAAGGGAATAAGTTTATGCTCCATGAAAAACCATAACTTGTGTACTTAATGTATATCTTAATATTGTGTGGCAATTAAAGATCAAATATCAACGCATTTCAACACCAAACCCAATTAATTGAATTTTACTTTAATTTGAAATGTATCTTCCTTTCTTTTGCATTATTCATTCTTATTATTACCATCTTATAGCACTTGTATGTAGCCCATAGTCCAAAATCTTTCAATATAACTACTGTGATAAGTTTGCTTTTTAAAGAGCAAACATGGATATCATCCACAGAATAGTTGAATTACAGGGCATAGAGTTGTTCTTTATTTTACTAAAAATACTGGTTCATGAATGTGAAAGAAGGAAATGAATAGAAGCTCTTCGACAATGTGTATGTGTTATTGCAATGAAGAAAGAATATGGAAGAAGTAGTGATAAAATAAAATCTATTTAACTTTACTGATAATTAACAAAATGCAAGGCTTTAATTTGGTAATTCATGTCACTACAACAATTCCCTGCCATTTATCAAGTGCATCTGCCAATCTGTCTGTCTAGTCATCCATCAATCCATTTGTCCATATATATAAATATCCATACAGAATATTGACTATGATCTTGGAAGAGTATTAATTTAGCATAGTTATTTTTGCTTAACATTGAACTTCTCTTTCAATCAAAAATCTGTTTTATTTTCTCTTGCTGGGCATAATGGCATAATCTCACTATTAAAATTCAAATACATAAGTTTGGCAAAATTAGCTTAAAATTAACTGTATACAGATCTTAATATGGGAGAGCACTCTATTCAACATTGGAATAACTATCTCCTATTTCTTACTAAAATAATTTAAAATTTCATAAACAAAATTTTATCTGACTTTGAAGAGATTTTTTATAATAAATTTCTAATACTTTTGCAGTTTTGTTATTACATGATTATTTTTCCTCTCAAATGTTTACATGTTCTTAAGATCTGCCACAGACTCACCTCATCCAGGCCCTAATATTTATTCAAGAATTGTAAATAGTGACATTGATATATATCAATAAGTATATACCTTATTGATGGATAAGAAAATGTTTCTAATATTATTAAATGACTATTAGTCTTCAAATGTGAGTCAATGAAGTAATTAATGCTATGATAGAAAAAATATTTGGAAAATAAATATGATAAATTGAAAGTTTAAAAAAGAGCAGTGAAAAAGTTAAGACACAACCACCAAAATGAAACAAATGATGCATTAAAATGTATCCGTACCTCTTAATTTTTGAAATATTTCATGTACTTTGCATATATTAATGTATCAGTTTCTAAATGATCTATATGCATTTAGAATAATGGGCATAATCAGGCATGAATACATTTTATACCTCATAAAAAAAACCTAATTTTATTTATATATCACATAATTTAGCAAAGTCAGATGTAATTTTGAATTCCTTAAAAGTGTGAATAATTGCACAAGGTTTATATCAAAATTAAGTGGTATAAATACATTTACAAGGTGTACATTCACCAGTTGATAAATAGTGATAAGGCAATAAGGCATGATAAACATCTACAAAATAATGAAATGCAGTGATTGTGTGCCACGTAAAGCAAGCACCATAGCATTCTGTTAACATTAGTAGGGATACATGGCTATTATTCTAGTTGCTGTTCCAATATCTAAATCAAAGATGTCTAAAATGATGATAAAATCCTTTAAGAAGTCCTTAAATGCCACTTACAAACTTTGAAATCCATCATTTTCCTCAACAAACTTTTTCTAAACATTTCAAAAAATACAAAGGAAAATTTGCAATTAGAATTGAAGCCAGCAATTTTCTAGAACTAACATTGTTTACTTAACAATCTATGAATATAAAGTATTTCCTGGTTAGTTTTTAAGAAACTTACTGTCTCTCCTCTGTGTTTAGAACATCTTATCACTGCAATTATATTTCAATATTGTGAATAAAATGTCAAATATCTTCATAGTTATTGCCAAATAAAAATACCCAAACCTCGTAAGTGTATGCACAGTTGTTAAACTAATAGCCTTTGAAATATGGTAAGTTTTTAGCAATCACATCACAAGTTGTTGATAGTGACTATATAAAGATCATTTTTAGGTTTATGCGTTTGCAGTTACCTTTTCAAACTCATGATGGGAAGCAATGTTGTGTTGTGATTCAACATCTGTCATGGGAAAAAAAATCTCAATATTGCCATATTGGTGTGATCTTGGCAAAACTGCATTAATACCCTAGCTCTTAGTTTCCTTATATTTAAAATGTGGATGATGAAAGAATTTAATCTGGATACACTAAATCAATAACCCAGTGCCTAGGACATGGCCATAGCCCTGATGCCTTCTAAATATGTCAATAAATATGAGCTATATTTTAAAAAAGAGAAAAAAGTCACCAATTCATCATGAATTGAACAAATTCAGTTATTTTTGATCTCATGATATATTCATGACACTTCATCAGATTATGGCAAAAATGTATAGCTTAATTGGATAGACTTATGTTCCTAAGAAAAGTTGAGTGAAAGGTAAGTATCAGCAATGAATAAAAAGATAGTACACGATATCTAAATATGGTATATCTATAGAATATGCATTATCTACTATTATACAATATATCCATTTAGTTTAGCTCATATAGATTTAGGAGGAGAAATACGTATTTTAATTTCCATTTAGGTAGAAAATAAACTCAGTATATTCAACAATCATTGATGAATAAATGTAAATTAGAAGTAAAAAGCAAACTGTCTTAACTCAAAAAGAATATTTATCAAAAATTTACAAACATCAAACATCATACAACTTACTGGCACAAGTGAGCCTTTTCTTTAAAATTAGAGTCAACATGACTATGACTGCTATTATCAAATTGATTTCAACAGTGACCTACAGTACTATCTAGATAAATTTTACAAAGGAAAAGTAAGAATATATTAAAATTGGATATGAAAGAAAATGTAGGTAGTCCAAAATATATTATTGTTAACAGAGAAAATACAAAAAGTTTTTCCACCAGATAATTAGAATTAACGAAAACTGTAAAATACTTGGATCACTGTTTTAAAGAAAAACAAAACAAAACACTTTTTATGGCTATTACTCCATTTTGTATATATACCACATCTTCTTTATTTTTTCATCCGCCAGTAGACACTTAGATTGCTTCCATATTTTGGCTATTGTAAATAATGTTGGTGACGAACATTTGAGTACATATATCTTTTTAAATTACTGTTTTTGTTTTCTTCAGGTAAATACCCAGAAGTGAAATTGCTCTATCACATGGCAGTTCTATTTGTAATTTTTTTGAGGAACCTCAGTATTGTTGTCCATCTGGCTGCACCAATTAACAATCTCCCCAACAGTGCATAAGGCTCTCTTCTTCCCCACATTCTCACCAACATTTGTTGTTTTCTTTTTGATGATAGCCATTCTGACAGGTGTGAGTCTCTGTCTTTAATTTTTGACAGCTTTATTATAATCTATCTTGGAGAACATCTTTGTAAGTTAAATTTGTTTGGAGACCTATGAGCTTCATGAAATTGAATGACAAAATTTCTCCCAAAATTTGAGCTCCTTGCCATTATTTCTTTATATTTGCCTCTGCCACATCCTCCTTCTGTTCTCCTTCTGGGACTCTAATAATTTGAACATTGCTTTTTTTGATGATATTCAATAACTTACATAGGCTTTCTTTACTATTTGTTCTTTTTTATCCCCAAACTGGATGATTTCAAAGGTACCTTTACTCCACAGATTCTTCTGCTTGATCTGATGTTGATGCTCTGTATTGCATTTTTTCATTTCATTCATCATATTCTTTGGCTTCAGAATTTTGTTTTTTTTTTTAATTCTATCTCTTTGTTAAACTTCTCATTTTGTTCATGTCTTATTTTCCTTATTTTGTTCAATTATCTTTCTGTGTTTTCTTGTAGCTCCTTGAGCTTCCTCAAAATGGCTCTTTTGAATTTTTTGTCAGGTAAATCACAGATTTGCATGTCTTTGGGGTCAGTTACTAGAAGATTATTGTGATCCTTTGCTGGCATCACGTTTCCTTGATTTTTCATGTTCGTTGAAGTCTTGCATTGCTGTCTTTGCATTTGAAATAGCAGTCTTTACTGACTGACTTTGGTAGAGAAGTACCTTCCATCAGCCCTGCTAGGAATTCTGAAGCTCTCTCAGGCTATGGCTATGCCTGATCCACTCTTCTTGCTCCCTCTTGTGGCCGACTTAAGATTTTATGCTTCCTCTAGATCCTGCAATACATCAGTCTGCATGCTGATAGTCTTCCTTTCGCTTTCCCAAAGGTAGCACTAAATGCTGATGTTTGCCATATCCTCTTGGTCTTACAGATTCAGACAGGCTTTCACAATTAGCCATCTGTGAAAGTTCCCTCTCACTGCCATTAGAAGTGCACACAGGAGCTGGCTACAAGGTGGCTGAGGGATGTGTAGGTGAGGCAAGCTCTGGGTTCCCATGGTCCAGCTGTGCGGATGCATAGTCATAGGCCAGCATCCTGACGGAATTTGTCACGTAGTTAGTAGAATGTGCATCCCTTTGATGCCTTCCTAGATGCTGTTCTCCCAGCCGCTAACTAACCCCTAGTTTGTAGCTCACAACTTAGTACACTGGATGGACTGAGAGAGAAATGAGCCTCTTTATCTGCATCTCACACAACTGGGAAAACTGGCACTGACTCATATGCTCTTTTTCCCACAGGTGAAATCAAAGGTCAAGAAGGACTTTATTGGTACGGAGCTGTGCCGCCTTGGTGGACAGGAGTCATAGGTAATGCCACAGTTTTCCTCTCACACTCTCCAGTGTGTCTAATCTTGGATTTTTTTTTTTTTTTTTTTGCTCCAGCAATGTGCTGAAACTTCTCTGGTAGAATCTTGGACTTCCACAAAGGCTCTCTCATCTATGGGTGATTTTCTAAGTCAGTATTTTCCAGGGTTCCCAAGACAATGGCCAAGAGGGGCTGGAGCCAGTTCATAGGCCACTTCATGGTCCACAGCTGGGTCCAAGGTCTAGATGTCTATTACTTGACACACAGGGGTGTGAGACTCCTACCAGGGTCCATCAGAGTATGGTGCTGGATCTCACAGCACCCACAAGGCACTTTGTTCCATGATGAATGCCAAATATTTGTTGAGGGAGAGATATGGGCTAGGTACGTCTTACGCAGTCATCTCACTACTGTCACTCCTAATTCAAACTTTTTAGAAAGTTTTATTGTTATTTCTTGTATGTGTATTTTGTTTGAAAATGCTTAATAAGAATAGAAAAGCAAATATAAATATATCAAATACCAAGTCTCTTCCAAGAAAAACAAGCATACTGATCTGTTTTTACTTCATAAATTTGTATAAAGGAAGTAAGGAATTTCAGATAAATTTTACAATGTTATTCACATTTTCTGTCACATTAATGTATGGTATTTGACTTAGCTGCTTTATTTCCTCTTTCTTACCTGGGAGAAGCCATTAATTGAAAAAATTTTGCTTTGGAATGATTTTCTAAAGTCTGTATAACAAAATAAATAATTTTATATGAGAAGAATACAAAATGACAATATCTGCTTTTCCATTTCTAATCAAGTGCTTAGGAAGACAATAAGCAATATTTTAAGTAAATTAAAATGGAATTTGCTTTTCACCATGTCTTATAAATGCCAAACAATGAAATGATTTAGTTTTCAAAGTTATTATATCCCAATTGATCTTCCAGGCAATGGACTTATTATCTAATTATGAAGATATGCACAGTTATCAAAAGTTAGAACCATCTGTCTCAATTCTGTTTAATTTCATTATACATTCATCATTTAGACAGTCAGCTTATGACATAAGCCTCTACCGATGAGTAATTCTATACTGATTATCACTCGACTACGTGCACAGGTAGACACCAGTCAACTCTTATTAGTCTACTTTGAAATTAAAATTCTACTAGTAACAGGCTGCTGACTAGCCAGTCATCACTGATATATGCAAGAATCATCTCTGGTATTCCTCTAAAGAAACGTAAAACTGCTAATTTCTTTCAGGAAATTATATAAACTTAACATTCATAAATTCTTCTTGAATTGAGAAGTAAATACATTTAGACCCATCTACATATATTCAGAATTCTCATTTTTAGATAGAGGAAGACCAGAAGAGAATAAATATAATTTAAAGAAATTTCTATTAAAATATTTATAACGCTCATAAGATTTTATAATTCTGGGGAATATATTAATAATCCTGGTTAGTGACTTTGGGTCAAAACACCAGATTAGATATGGAATATAATTTCTTTTTCTTATATGTGTGATTATTATTGACAGAGATGAGTAAGAATATGGGAAATTATTTACTGGAAACACTTTGCCTCTTTTTGTATATCCAGAATGAAGATTAAAAATATCTGGCATTCTATTATAAGCACACTTAAACTCATTAGAAAAATATCATATGTCAACTCATAAATAAGAATCCAGCAAGTTACTGCAAAAAAACCAAATGCATCTTACATATGGCACATCTCTGTACCTGTCATTATGGTCATAAATAACACAAATGATAGGCTCAAACACTGTCTAAAGGGAAAACTGAATCCCTTCAATCAAATCATAAGTAACGATTTTATGTATATTATTTATATATGTATTCATAATATATATAATTAGCACATTGGATAAAATGACTTAAATAAAATATATTTTAATTTAATAGCAATTTATATGAAATGTTTAAGAGAAACTATGTGTTTCTAAATAAAGAAAATGTTTTATATTATAAGGGAATCTGGTTTTCCCAATTTATATCATACTGAGAGATTGACTGTCAAAATGATTGCAATCTCAACCAAGAGTATTCCTGGGAAGACAGACGCCAGAGCCAGTAAGAATGGGGTAAAATTTGGACCAGGTGGCCAAAGAATTGAAATTGCTATAGAGTTAACCCGTGGGAGGACTAACAAGCAGTGTGTTACTTGGCATCCAGAGGGGCGATGCACTCAGAATGATATTAGCCAATATTAGTATTTAAGAAGGAACAATATGTTGGATAGGACAGCGTTATGAACAAAAATGGAAATGTGAGGGAAGTCAGATATACCAGTAGTTTTTTTTTTTTAATCCCTTCTTTTTTAGAAAAGGTTTCTAGCCAGCAGCTGAATTTACTACTAACCCGACCAAATTTATCCAATGGAAAAATATAGACAAAAATACTATATTAGTATTCTGACAACAAAGACTGTAATTTCAAACCCATAATGATATTATAATGCTTACCAGGATAACCAAAACAGAAAGTAAAGGGTACATTAAAAATTGTTAATCCTTTCACGTGGTACATATGCATGATGGGCTAAATTTAAACATCATAAAAACAAACATTAAGGTGATAAGAGCAATTCAGTACTCTACCTTCTTGTCACATGGAAGCTCAGAACTTAGTGATTGTTAAGACTGACAAAGTCTAGGCTGTTGTTTTAGTTAAAGTCTTTGGAATAGAATGAATGACTCACATTCCAAGGAGTCATTGCAATGTGTTATCTAAGACCAAAGGCCCTAAAATGTTAGTGTATATAAGAATTACTTGGAGAGTTATAATAAATGCACGTTCTACATCTTCCCCCTCCCAAATTTAAACAAACATTCTGAAATAGGTAGTAAGTGGTTTATGCTTTGTTGTATACTATTCTAGTCAGATCATCATGACTGTTTAAAGGCACTATTTCCTCAAAGAATTAAGACTCCTTAGATGACATGCAAAATTGCAAAGGTGGCATTATGATCTAGGAAACTTAGAGGATTCTGAAGGCAACAATGAGCATGCTCAGCCTCAAGCTTTTATTTATCTCTAAAGGAACAAATATTAGAGGGACAATTTTCTACTTCATCTATATTTGTCTGAACCATTCTGAGTCATCAAATCAAAGGGACTAATTTCCCTAACTCTTAGGTATACTAGGTTTTTCAAGGAATCAGAACAACTTCAGGAAGGAAAGGAAAACAATGAGATCAAAGCTCAGAGGCAGACACACAGACACTCAAGTCCTTCAATAAGTAATCTTTCTTTGGAAACATTTAATTATTTGAATATTGTGTATTCTTTATTTGTCCTTGTCTGTAGAAGGCAAGAGTGTATGTGTATATATAGTCCAGGATAATATTACCCACAGTATAGCCTAATATGGGTAATTATGAAGTTGAAACTTTAGAGATTGCTTGGGTAAGCTGCCTTAACTCACAGATCTATGAGGTCTCCTCCATATCTTATTGAATATATAAGAGAGATTATAACACTATCAATTGTAGAAAATTTGAATTGACATTCCAAAATAAAGAACTTTCTTAATCTTGGGAACTTATAGTAACGTGAGGGTTATGTATTGTCTTTAAAGGTCCTGTAAGACGAAAATAATGTATAAAATTACAGACGCCAAAACAGCCACTTCCTAGCTTCTCCTACCTCATCAATCTATGCAGAGCTTCCCTCAACATTTCATGTCATTTAGCAGCTCAGTAAGCTGCAAAGAGTTGTTTCTAATTTAATATCTCAGCATAAAACAATGAGATTTTATGTTTATTTCACAACTTATCTTGAGATATATACACATTTAGGCTATACTTTTGCCCATTTTTATGGACAAATTATACCTCTTTGATGTTGATCCAAAGCATTCATTGTTACTTTAGAAATCATCCTGTCACATCAGATGAAAGTTAAAGTGGATAGTAATGAACTAAGGATAAACGCATATTTGAAACTAAAAAATAAAAATGACAAATGACTTCCCACCTATTTTTCTTTTTTATTTGAACCTACAGTATTTTGTTATAAACTAGAAAAATGTATTTCTGGCATTGTAAACAAGAAAAATATAACATAGGGAATGAAAAATATTTTCATTTATTACATTACAAGTGAAATCTTCAGAAGTTAAATACCCATTGTCTTCCAGCCTTTATTGTTTTACAAGAAGTCACAGTTTTATACTGCTTGTTTGAAACACAGTGTTGCTTTTCTCCAAAGACTACTTTACGATATTTAATTTTTTGTCTTTGGTTTTCAGTAGTTCTTTCTATTATGAGCATATGGTATATACTGCTTTGGGAATTTCAAGTCTTCTTGAGTATGCAGAATAATTTATTTTTCAATATTGAAAAATTCTTAGCCATTATTTAAATAATTCTTCTGCCTTATTCATTCTTATTTTCTTCTGGGACTTAAAATAAGCATACGTAAGCCTTTTCACCACAGACATATTTCACTACCATGCTTTCTTTCTGTTTTTTATCATTTCTTCTCTCCATGTGTCATTCTGCATTTTTTTCTGAATTTCCTCAGTTCATACTTTCTCTTCAGAAGTTTAAAACTAATGCTAAACATGGCCACTGAGTAATTTACTTTTGTTTATTATTTTCATAATGCCTATAATTATTTTTGATCTTTATAATTATTTGCTGTTTTCCATTAAAACTCTGATAACCCTCTCTAATAAAATCATCTATCTCTTATTTCAATTCTATCATCATAGTAAGGACAGTTATTTGGAAGTACATGACTGCTGAATTTAGTTTTTTGGGTCTGCTACAGTGTTTTGCTTTTGTTTTTTCTATTTTCCCTTGTTTTTGGTTATATTGTCTTTTTTATGTTTAGCTAATATTGATATATTCTTATGAATTGCAAATTGAGAATTACACAATTGGACTTCCAGTTTCAGTTCCAATATGTAAAGAACTTAGAACTTGTCACTCCCATCATGACAAAAAAGAAATATGTGAACAAAATAAAAATTAACAATTTTTCTTACACCTATTAGAGAACTGGAATTGCAGGGCAAACCACCATCATGAAATCTGGACAGACAGGCAGATCAACAGAGGCATAGACAAGGTCTTACCTAAAGCAGAAGCTCCATCAATTGGAGCCATAAACTAGTAGGGATACTTAGATGGTAATGCTGACAAATTTCTGGAAGCTGATTGCTGATTTTGGATTAGATTGAAAGTGAGAAACTACTAGGAGCTGCAATCTTAGAGGGTCCTACACTTTCATGGGTTTAACCTTCAGGAATTCCACAAGACTGTCACTGTATATAGCCAGAAATGATTTCCCAGTGGTTCTGGCAAAAGATGGAAAAGACTATCCATGATGAAATAAGCCAAGAATGCTCTTCATAAAAATTCTCCAAGGTAAAATACGTTACCAGAGCCTTATTACATGTAAGCTAAGAGAAGTTCTCTGAGTCTAGCACTGTCTATCTTCCCTTTATCGCTCAAACGGGGGAAAAAAAAAAAAAAGAAAAGATAAAACACTTGTGAAAATAATAGCCCAGAAACTCAGAGACAAACCTAACTAAAACAATGAGATTTACTCATGAGATGATAGAACACTTCCCTTCCCACACGCCCTACCACCACTCTGACAGGGTACCCCTGTAATAACAATGGATTATAGCTGAAAGAGCAGAAAGACACAGACACTATTTGATAAGGAGTTCTTATGAAAGCCCAAAGACAACAGAGGAGATAAAATCAAGGACACTAGAGGATTTGAAGCCTTTGGCACATATAGCTACAATAATCAGTTAGTATTGTCAAACTCTAGAAAGATTTACATAAAATATCACACTAAGACCTGTTTATCAATACCTCAGTTCTTATGACCTGATACATTATATTTGGCTTTCAACAAAAATTACAGAGGATGCTTAGAGACAGAAAAATCAGTTTGAAGAGACAAAGCCAGCTTTAGAACCATACTCCATTATGACACAGATTTTGGAATTGTCAAAATGGGAATATAAAGTAACTATGAATAATATGTTAAGAGCTCTAAAGAAAAATCAGATAGTATGTAAGAACACATGGGTGTTGTAAGCAGAGAAATGGAAGCTCTAAAATAGAATCAAAAGGATATGCTTTATTTCAAAATATCTTTGATGGGCTAACCAGGAGACCACACACAGCTAGGAAAAAGATAAGTGAGTTCGAAGATAGGTCATAAAAAGATAGAACATACAAATAATTGGAATACCAGAAGGAGAAAAAAAAGAAAATGGAGCAAAAGAAATATTTGAAGTAATTGCTGAAATTTTTCCAAAATTAATGATAGACACCAAACAGATCCAGGAAGCTCAGAGAACATCAATTAGGATTTAAAAAAAAAAAAAAAAAAGACATGTAGACATATTATATTCAAACTGAAAAAACACCAAACAGAGCAAATCTTAAAATAATCCTAGGAGTGGTAAGGGGGTAACAAAACACCTTAACTTTAGAGACACAAGGATACAACTTATAGTAGATTTTTCATCACACTATGCAATCAAGAAGAGGGGTGAGTAACATTTATACTGTTGAAAGGAAAATGGTACTAATCTAGAGTTCTATGCCCAGCAATATTATCCTCCAAAAGTGAAAGAGAAATATATTTTTTCAGGCAAACAAAAACTGAAGTAAATCAATGCCAGAAGATCTGTCCTATAAGAAATGTGAAAAGGACTTCTTCAGCAACAGGAAGGGATGCAAGTCAGAAACTTGGATTTACATTAAAAAAGGAAGAGCATCAGAGAAGGAAAAGGTCTTAAGGTAAAATAAAGCTTATATTTTTCTTATTCTTAATTGGTATAAAAGTTAACTGTTTAAAATAATAGTATTAAAAAGATATTGGATAATTAACACAACATTGTAAATCAACTATACTTCAATAAAAAATGGTGTTTGATGATTACAGAATATGGATAAATGAAATGAATGATAGTAATGATATACAGGTAAAAGGAGGGAATTGGGAACACTGTTATAAGGTGCCTGAACTTAAAATGAAGTGGTATAGTTTTATTTTAGGTGGAACTAGATTAGATTAGTTGAAAATGTATATACATTGAAAACTCTGTGAAAACTACTAAAGTTTTTGTAGTATATGTGATGTGCTAAGAAAGGATATAAAATAGAATTAGAGATAATTCTTAATTAAAATCAGAAAAGGAAGAAAAAGGGAAGAAGTAAAATTAAGAACAAGGCAATAAATAGAAAATAGTTAAAACATGGTATATATTAATCCAACTATTCAATGTCACTTTGATATAAGTGGTCTAAATACACTGTTGGTAAAATAGACATTGTCAGAGTGGATCAAAAAGAAGACCTAAGTATAAACTGTTAATTAAAAAATACTTAAAATGTAAAGACTCTGAATGGTTAAAAGTAAAGGGAGGATAAATATCAATATATACAATGTTAATCATAACACAAGCAAACAAACAAAATCTAAAGAAGTTATATTAAATTGAGACAAAGCAGAATTCAGAACAAGGAAAATTATCTTAAATAAACAGGGATGCAGTATGACAATGAATGGATCAATTTTCCAAGAACACATGATAATCCTAAATGCACGTAACAACAGGAGTATAAATATGTAGGTAAAACTAGGTACAATGAAAGGATAGGTAAGTCCACTTACAGTTACAGAAGTCAGCATTCCTCTTTCACAGACTGATATATCAAGAAGGTAGAAAATCAGCAAGAATGCAGGTGATCTGAAAAACACCATTAATTACCTTTATCTAACTGAAATTTATAGAATATAGACTAGCCCATCCAACAACAGCAGAATACACATCTTTGTCAAGCTCACATGAAAATTCACTAAGATAGTACATATTACGGGCCATAAGATATACTCTAACATATATAAGATAGAAATAATACAAAGTATGCTCTTAGGCCTTAATGGATTTAGACTAGAAATCAAAAACAGATAGTTGGAAAAATTTCAAATTATTTAGAGATTAAACAACACGCTTCTAAATAACACATAGGTCAAAAAAGTAATATCAAGATAAATGTTTGAATAAATTAATTAAAAATGAAATGTAACTTATCCAAATTTGTGGGGTACAGCAAAAGCAACTGCTTAGAGGGAAATGTATAGAATTAAATGTATATATTAGAAAATAAGAAAGATAGGAAAAGAATCACCTTGGGAAAACAGAAAAAGGGGAGCAATTTTTTTAGACATTTGTAGATTTATTGATTCTCAGTTTTCATATTGAGACAGATAATTAAATAATTCTAGTGACAACGATTTACACATTTCCCCACTGTACCCCATGTCCCTACTCCTTTAACTAAAAAGCCCAGCAGTTCTACTTTGCTGCCAGAGACATCAGACAATATTTTCACAATGTAAATAAAGGGGAGCATGATATTCACATAATGTTGGTATTTAATGTTGATGAAGTTAGTGGCACAGGACAAGTTTTTTCTTCAAGTAACATCATATTTTCCTTTGGCCAAAACGTGGAAGCCAGTCCCAACCAGCTCAAGAGCAATTTAAGTATATAGCAAGCAGAAGAAAATAAATACAAATTAGAGCAGAAAACAAAGAAATTAAAAGTCAGAAAACAATTAACCAATCCAACTAAACCATAAGTGGATTCCTTGAAAAGATCAAAAAATTATAAACCTCTAGCCAGGCTACCTAATTAAAGGTGAAAAGACACAAATCGCTAATACCATCAATGAAGGAAGAGTTATCACTACTCATCCCATGGACATTAAAAGATTAATGAAGGAATACTGTGAACAACTTTGTGCCCATGGATTTAATAATATAGGTAAAATAGTCTTACACCTTGAAAGACATGAACTACCAAATTTAACACAAGGCGAGATAAATTATCTGAATAGGTATATATCTATTAAAGAAATTGAATCCATAATTAATCATCTTTCAAAAAAGAATGCAGCAGACCTAGATGGTTCCACTGGTGAATTCTACCAAACATTTAATAAGGTGATATTCAGCCTCCACAGTCTCTTTCAGAAAATAGTAGCAGAGGAAAAAGCACTTTTTAATTCATTCAATAAGGCAAGCATTATACCCTAATACCAATACCATATAAAGATATTACAAGAAAGGAAATCTACAAACCAATATCTTTCATAACAGATGGAAAAATCTCAAAAAATATTAACAAATTGAACAAACAAGGCATTAAAATAATCATACAGCAGGAACAAGTGGGATTTATTCCAGGTATACAAAGACTAAAATCAATCACACAACATCAACATGCTAAAGTAGAAAACACATAAGATCATATCAATTGATACAGAAAATCATCTGACAAAATCCAATATCCACTCATGACAAAAAAACTATCAGAAACTAAGAACAGTTTGGAATATCCTCCCCTTCATAAAGAATGTATATAAAAAACTGATGAAACACTGGATGCTTCTTTCCTAAGTGCAGTAAAATGTTTATTCAATGCACTACAACATCAAGAAAAGTAAATAAAAGTTATGCAGATTGGAAAGGGAGAAATAAAATTATCATTGTTTACAGATATATATACAGAAATATACATATGTATATATATATATATAAATTATTTTCCTATATAACTTCCATGAACAATTAGAATTTAAAATTAAAAGGGAAACATATCATTTACATTAGCACCAAGAAATGAAATATGTAGGTATATTTTTAACAACATGTATATAGGAGGAAAACTACAAAACCCTGATGAAATAAATCAAAGAACATATGTATGTATACATATAAATCGAGAGATATTTTATGTTCATGGACTCAATATTGCTAAGATTATCAATTCTTCCCAACTCATTCAATAGATTCAATGCAATTCCAATGAAAATTCCATCAAACTAGTTTGTAGGTACAGATAATCTGATTCTAAAGTTTATAAGACAGAAGTCCCAGAATAGACGAAGTAATATGAAATAAAATGCAGTTGGAGAAACTATATTATCGAATTTTTTTTAATTTATTGAATTGAGATAACATTATAACATTGGTTTATAACATGTAAGTTTCCTGTATACAACATTATGATTCACTTCTGTGTACACTACGATGTGCTCACCATCAAGAGTTTAGTTTCCATCCATCACCACAGAGCTGACCCCCTTTACCCATTTTTCTCTCCCCCCTCCCATTTTCCCTCTGGTAACCACACTCTATTCTCTGTATCTATGTGTTTGTTTTGGTTTGTTCATTTATCAAAAATGTTTTTTAATATTCCACATATGAGTGAAATGATACGGTATTTATCTTTCTCTGACTTATTTCACTTATAGTATACTCAAGGTCCTCTTATAGCACACTCAGGGTCCACTAATGTTGTTGCAAGTGGAAAAATTTCATCTTTTTAAGTCTGAGTAGCATTCAGTTTTACGTATTACATACCACATCTTTATCCATTCATCTGTCGATGAGCATTTAGGTTGTTTCCATATCTTGGCTGTTGTAAATAAAGCTAGGGTAAATGAACATAGGGGTGCATATATTTTTTCCAAATAGTGTTTTCATATTTTGGGGATAAATACCCAGAAATGGAATAGCTGGATCGTATGATAGTTCTATTCTTAAGTTTTTGAGGAACTTCCATCCCTTCACTGAGCCCGTTTGTCTTTAGACCTGAGATGAATCTCCTGGAGGCAGTGTTTAGTTGGTTTTTGTTTTTGAATCCGTCCAGCCACTTTGTGTCTTTTCATTGGGGAATTCAATCCATTTACATTTAGGGAAATTATTGATAAATGAGGCCTAGTACAGCCATTTTATCTTTTGTTTTCAGGTTGCTCCATATCTCCATTTGTGTCTCTGCTCCAGATGTATGTTTTGTGGTTATCATCAGGTTTGTATAAAACCTCTCATAGATAAAATAGTCCTATTTTCTGCTGATAGCAGTTTACCTTCATTTGCCTGTAAAGGTTCCATTTTTTTCCACTTCCTTATTTATGTTTTTGTTGTCTCAAATTTTCCCTTTTTATGTTGTGAGTTTGTTACCAAACTGAAGTAGATATAGTTGTTTTTACTGCTTTTTTCCCCCTTCAAGTATATGCTATACTTTTAAAATAACCTATTCTGATATAGAGTTGCAGTGTTCTGATTCTATTTATTACTTTACTCCAAGTTTTGTGTACTTATGCCTTTTCATTTTAAGTAGAAGAGCTCCTTTCAACATTTCTTGCAACGTACGTCTAGTGTTGATTAAATCTTTCAGCTTTTGTTTGGGAAAGCCTTTATTTCTCCTTCATATCTAAATGATAACTTTGCTAGATAGAGTATTATTGGATGACAGTTTTTATCTTTCAAAATTTTGAGTATGTCATTCTACTCTCTCCTAGCCTATGAAGTTTCTGCTGAGAAATTTGCTGATAGCATAAGGAGGGTTCCTTTGTAGGTTACCATCCTTTTTTCCCTGGCTGTTTTTAAATTTCTTTGTCACTGACTTTTGACAGTTCTAATATAACTGTGCCTTGGAAAAGGTCTGTTGAGGTAATTGTGCATTCTCTTAGCTTCTAGACTTTTATATCCACTTGCTTCCCCAAGTTTGGGAAATTCTCAGCTATTATTTCTTTGAATAAACCCTCTGCTCCCTTCTCCCTCTCTCCTGGGTTACTCATTATTCTAATGTTGCCCATCCTAATAGAGTGGGATAGTTCTCAGAGAATTGCTTCATTTTTTTAGATCTTAATTCTCTTTCTTCTTCTATCTGTATCATTTCTAGATTTCTACCTTTGAGCTCGCTAATTCTTTATTCCTGTGGTCTTCTCTGTTACTACTGCTTTCTAATGTGTTCTTCATCTTATTTACTGAGTTCTTCAGTTCCAGAATTTGTTTGGTTCTTTTATAGACTTTTAATTTCTTTGGTAAAGTATTCCTTCTGTTCACTAATTTTATTCCTGATCTCACTGAACTGCTTTTCTGTGTTTTCTTATATCCTGTTGAGTTTCTTCCTGATAAGTATTTTGAATTCTCTGTCAATTAGATCTCAATATCCTGTGACTTTAAGTTTGGTTTCTAGAAAATTGTCATTTAATTTCTGTGATACTATGTTACCATGGTACTTCACGCAGATTTGCTCCTCTGCATTTGAAGTAGTAAGCATCTTTTTTCTTTAGGTAAAGCCTTTTTTGTTTTTTTTTTTTTTACTTGATTCTAATGACTCAACAGTTAGTAATTAGAAGCCTTTCTTTTGTTTTTCAGTAGGTGACTATATAACACAAGTTGGGTTTTTTTTTCATGTTTTTTTTAACATCTTTATTGGAGTATAATTGCTTTACAATGTTGTGTTAGTTTCTGCTGTATAACAAAGTGAATCATCTATACGTATACATATATCCCCTCCCTCTTGTGTCTCCCTCTTACCCTCCCTATCCCACCCCTCTAGGCAGTCACAAAGCACGGAGCTGATCTACCTGTGCTATGCAGCTGTTTCCAACTAGCTATCTATTTTACATTTGGTAGTGTATATAGGTCAATGCTACTCTCTCACTTCATTCCAGCTTACCCTTTCCCCTCCCTGTGTCCTCAAGTCCATTCTCTATGTCTGCGTCTTTATTCCTGTCCTGCCCCTAGGTTCTTCAGAACCTTTTTTTTTTAGATTCCATATATATGTGTTAGCATAACACATAGCACAAGTTTTGGATTTCTCTTACCTGAATTGCCTCTGGTTGTATTTGATAATATGCATTTTTTCACCTTGCATCACCTCTGACAGAGGTGTTGCCCATTCTTCCTGCTGCTAATGTCATTGGTGCTTTGCTGCTGGGGGTCACTGGCATTGCCACCTGGGGCCATGAGATGGGGAGGGAAAATCGGGGGACCCAGGGCTTCAGGTGCCTCTGCCAAGTCCGGGGTTGTAAGGTTTGTGTGTGTCATCACTGTGGTCAGGGAAGGCAGAGTTGTTGGGTACCTCTGCAGCTGGAGGGAACAGGGTCACAGGTCCCTATGCAGCTGCTCAGTTCCCTGTAGCTGCAAGTGGCACTGCAACCAGGAGGTGGGAGTCTGTGCCACTTCCTCTTACGCTACTCGATTCTCTGAGGCTGTGAGCTCAGCCATCTGGCCAGAGGTCCAGGATCACAGGCACCACCTCTGATATTCCCCTCGTTTCACTTTCTCTATGTGTTCCAGTGAACCCACCTTTAGATGTGTAGATGTGTGGATTTACCCAGCATCCTGGTATGTTGAGCAGAGGCACCTTTGTTCAGTTATGGTTGTTTTACTGGTTGTAGATTGAAAGGAAGAGACAAAGGGAGCATATCAGACCACCATGATGCTTGCATCACTTTAATATTACCTAATTTTTGTTTTTTTTGTGGTACGTGGGCCTCTCACTGTCGTGGTCTCTCCCGTTGCGGAGCACAGGATCCAGACGCACAGGCTCAGCGGCCATGGCTCATGGGCCTAGCCGCTCCGCGGCATGTGGGATCTTCCCAGACCAGGGCACGAACCTGTGTCCCCTGCATCGGCAGGGAGACTCTCAACCACTGCGCCACCAGGGAAGCCCTAATATTATCTAATTTTAAGCCTTACTATAAAACTACATTAATCAAGATAGCATCGTATTGGTGATAGACACCAAGATCAGTGGAACAAAATGGGAGAAAACAGAAATAGATCCAAATAAATATAGTCAACTGACATTTGAAAAATGAGCAAAGGCAACTCAATAGAGAAGGAATAGACTTTTTAACAAATGGTACTGGAAAATTTGAATGTCAATATGCAAAAAACAAAAACAAAAACCCCAGACACAGACCTTACATCATACACAAAATATCATTTAAAATGGATCATAGACTAAATGTAAAACTTTAAATTCTAAATTTTCTAGAGTAAAACATACAAGAAAACCTAGCTGACCTTTGGTTTTGCCATGAGTTTTTAGATACAATATCAAAAGCATGACTGATGAAAGAAAAAATTGATAAATTGTATCTGCTTAAAGTTAAAAACTTCTGTTATGCAAAAGTACAGTTAGGAGAATGAATACCCAATTCTCAGACTGGTAGAAAATATTTAAAAAACACTTCTATGATAAAGGACTTACATTCAAATGTACAAAAGACACTTAAAACTTAACAATAAGAAAACAACCCAATTAAAAATTGGCAAAAGGTCTGAGCAGATGCCTCACAAAAGAGGATATAGAGATAGAAATAAGCATATGAAATGATGTTCAACATCCTCTGTTGAAGAGGATTAGAGGATTGCAAATTAAAATAACAATGAGTACTGGTACATACATATTGGAATGCCTAAATTCAAAAATATATGACAATAACAACTTCTGGGAAAGATGTACAGTATTATTATTCATTATTGGTTAGAATGTAAGGTGGTATAGCCACTTTGTACTACAGTTTAGCAGTTCCTTGCAAAGCTAAACATAGTTTTAGCTTATCATCAAGCAGTCATGATTTTATGTATTGAGTTCACTGATTTTAAAACTTAAGTAAACTCAAAAACTTGCATGTAAATGTTTACAGCAGATTTATTCATATCACCCCAAACTTGATGCAACTAAAAAATGTCTTTCAATAGGTAAATGGATAAACTGTGGTATATCCATATAATGGAATACTATTCAACAATATAACAAAATGAGCCATCAAGCAACAAAAAGACATGAAAGAAACAAATGTATATTTATTGCTTAATGAAAGAACCCAGTCTGAAAAGGCAACATACTCTATATAGGAATCAGCTATCTCAGTGGTCCCCAAACTTTTTGGCACCAGGAACCAGTTTCGTGGAAGACAATTTTTCCACAGATTGGGGTGGGGGGTGATGGTTCAGGTGGTAATGCAAGTGATGGGGAGCGGCAAATGATGCTTCACTAGCTCGCCCACTGCTCACCTCCTGCTGTGCGGCCCGGTTCCTAACAGGCCATGGACCAGTACCAGGGGTTGAGGACCCCTGAGCTATATGACATTCTAGGAAATTCAAACTATAGCGATTGTAAAAAGATCAGTAGTTACCAGGGGTTTGGAGGAGGAGGGGAGAATTAAATGGGTGAAGCACAGGGGATCTGGGAAAGCACTACGGTAGTGTAGTTATAGATACGTGATATATTGCTTTGTCCAAACCCACAGAACTTTACAGAACAAAAGTGAAATTTCATGTATACAAACACAGATTACAACAAAACAACGTATTTGTATTACACGTGTATGAAATGATCTCCCTGATATGAGTGGGAGCAAAAGTTACTGATCTAAGTAATTGAAATGAGTAGAGTCTGTAAGACTAAGGCAAAAGAAACTGGATAAGCACCATGCCTTAGTTTATAAAGTTATTTCCCAGGGATGTAACAGTGGGTCCATAATTCTGACACTGCTGTATATGTACACTTGGACAATTAAGCAAATGGGTGGCAGATGGTTGGAGCTAGGTTTCTCACGTGTTGGAACATGGAGTTAGAGATAAGCAAGGGGGGAGGATTCTAGAATGATCTATGTAGTAAAGGATTAGAGTTTGAGATTTCAGTATGAACTCATGTTTAGCTTAATATGTGTGTGTGTATATGCAGCTATATATAGAAATGTTTATGGGTCTGTGTAAATAATAGGTGTATACACACACACACATATTTCCTTGTTCTGTCAGGTGAGATGGCTTACACCTAGCAGCAATAAGCACATCTAGCACACAGATCTTGGTTTCTAATGCTTTCTCAATGAAAGAAACAAGATTTTCTTGCAGAAATGTCTAATTCTAGGATTGGGGCATCAAGTATACATGATGAACCTGGAACAATCTGGCTGTACAAGAGAGCAAGGAAGTACTCCAAAACAAAAATGAAAACAAAAGCCTATAATGATGGGAGTATGTCAGGGGGACATGGGAGCCATCTCAAAGAGCTCCCAATGGCCAAATCTGGAACAATATGAGCAGGGAAATAAGTACAGCAGTATTGGATTATAACCCAAGGTATAAAATAAACAACAATTAGTCTATTCTGATATAAATCAATGATGAATTAATAACTAACTGGAGGAGAAAGGAAAAATACTCTGTTGAAGAAATCCAAATATATTAAATTATGTAGATTCCTCCCCTCCTACATATTGACTTCCTTCCAAAGAGTACAGTATGGAAAAGGGGCTGGAAAAGGAGGTGAAGAAACCTGACTATTATTTGAGCCATATGACTATGGTTAATAGCAACAATATAAGCCGTGTTGATAGTATTTATCATTGATATGATGTAATGAAAATATCACTTTACTTCTGTGGTATTCCTCTGGAAAACCCATAACCTCAGTCTAATCATGAGAAAAATATCAGACAAATCCCAATTGAGAGATGTTCTACAAAATACCTGACCAGTACTTTTCAAGAAGTGTCAAGGTGATCAAAAAGAAGAAAAGTTTGGCAAACCTCTCACAGCCAAGAGGAGCCCGAGGAAAGATGACAATTAATATGTATTGATTCTGGGTGAGATTGTGAAACAGAAAAAGGACATTAAGTAAAAGCTAAGGAAATATCAATAAAGCATGCCTTTAGTTAGTCATAATGTATCAAAATTGGTTCATTAATTGTAACAAATGCACCAAGCTAATATAAGACACTAATAATAGGGGAAACAGGGCATGGGGCATATGGAAAATCTTCATACTGTCTTCACAATTTTTCTATAACCTTAACCATTTTAAAAATTAAAGTTTATTATTAAAACACTTTTTACAATTAATTTAAGGTAGAGGTGATGTCATCTTTATCCAAAAATGTTTGCATTTCTTTTCATCAAGGCCTTTAGCAATAATAATCACCTTATCCAATCAGAATTGAGGATTGGTGTATTTCTAATTTATTCTTTCTCCTTAGGGTGTTCCTTTGAAGTCCCATGCCAGAAGTTTGTTTTTAAAAAAGAAGAAGAAAGAAAGACACTATTCTCATTGGAAACCCTGATCTACAACCTTTGTTTTCCTAGCCTCCTGAATCTGTCAAAATTCTGCACAAGTATTCCCGTTCTCAAAAGGTACAATAGGCAATTCTAGAAACTGTCCCCACATCCTCAGCTCACTTTTGTGAGGTTCCCTCCTTTGATTTATCTGGATTTTCATTCCACAATTCTTGTTGCCTGCATCTTTCTTATAAACCTTCAAAGAGATGTTTAAACAATACTATTTGTTTTCTATTTCTTCTCAGGTTATCAGACCAAACCCCTACCAATCATTATAATAAGTGAATCCTTAAGGTATGTTTTTAAGCATAAATCTGCTTTCTAATGGGTTCTCCATGATAATTTAACTTTGAAATGTATTTCCTGGACTTAAGTAAATTATTTTAATTTATGAGATCACTCAGAGTTCTACATTTTGATGATAAGACTTAATACTCAAATAATAACAAATATGCCTTGGACAAAATTGACAATTGTGTTTTTGGAACCCAGATCATTTTAATTCTAACCTATTACTCTTCCCACTATACTATACTTTGCACAGACTGAATAAGAACTACCTAGACTGCATAATGTGTTTTCATCTGCTTTCTCCTTCTTTCTTCTAGGAAAGTATGGTCAAATGATAACTGAATTAGATGAAAAGAAACAGGAATACCTTTATAAACCTAGATTCTTAACACTGTCTCCAATCCAACAATGACTTCTGCACTTGTGTATATGGTGGACTTCAAGGGACAAAATCAGTAAGGATGGTCAAATAAACAAGAATGAGTGGGATTTATCTCCCTCATTTAAACTTGCATCGAGTTACTGCTATACTGTAGTTTTACAAAAAATCTATTATATGGACAAGAATATAGGTTAAAAATAATTTGGTGAGCTTCCCTGGTGGCACAGTGGTTAAGAAACCACTTGCCAATGCAGGGGACATGGGTTCGAGCCCTGGCCCAGGAAGATCCCACATGCTGTGGAGCAACTAAGCCTGTGCACCACAACTACTGAGCCTGCGCTCTAGAGCCCACAAGCCACAAATACTGAGCCCACGTGCCACAACTACTGAAGCCTGCATGCCTAGAGCCCATGCTCCACAAGAGAAGCCACAACAATGAAAAGCCTGCACACTGCAGTGAAGAGTAGCCCCTGCTCACTGCAACTAGAGAATGCCCACAAAGCAACGAAGACCCAATACAGTCAAAAATAAATAAGTTAACTAATAAAATAAAATAATTTGGTAATTTTCTCTTCAATTACCTTTGTTATTTACATTTATTCACGAATTAGTTTTAAATATTATATTTATTAATTCTTCAAATTTTAAAAATTTCATATTGATATGAGTAATTGGCAATAAATGTAGAATTTAATTATGTGTATTAATTGTGCATACTGCTACACTGCTAAACTTATTTACTAGTCCTAGGATATGATTTGTAGATTCTATGGTATTTTCTACATTCTACATAATCATGCTACCTATCGATACAGAAAGTTTTATTTCTTCTTTTCCAATTGTATTTTTTTCGTGTCATATAGCTGACCCTTGATTTATTCCTGATACTCAGAAGTTAAAAGCTTTTTTTTTTTTGGCTGTTAGGTATAATGTTACCTCCTATAGCTATTTTGTAGATGCCTTTTATCAGGTTAAAGGAAGTTCCCTCTATTCCTAGTTCTTTGAGAGTTTTTGTCATGATAGATAGTTGGATTTTGCCAAATACTTTGTCAGCATCTATTGGGATGATCATATGATTTTGTCCCATAGTCTGTTAACACGGTGATTTGCATTAATTGATTTATGAATGTTGAGGCAGCTTTGCATTGCTGGGATAAACCTCAGTAGGTGATGATCTAGTATTATGTTTGTATATTGGTGGTTCAGTAACACAAAATGCAAGATGCGTATGTCCAGACAGCAAAGACTGTATGAGTAATGTATATTAGTGTTGACTTATCTCAAGAATTCAGCACTTAGAAACTTGCTTAGAAATGTCTTAACGATAGTGCAATTCACATGGACTGTTCAAGGAAGAATTAAACTATTTTCTACTTTCTACTCTTTTTTAAATAACAGTAGTATTTGTCAATTATAAAATTTGATTAAACAAAAATATGTGAATTGAAGATATAAAAACAGACATTGATATTGATATTTATGTAAATGTTAAGTGCAATATAGTGAGTGGTGTGCAAGATGAAAGACTTATTGTGATTTTCAAGAAAAATTTTTCTCACTGAACAGAGCTACAGATATTTCTGGCTGTTTTCAGGGATACAAAACCTTATAAGGAAACTACTATTGAGTGTGTGTGCAACTTCCTATGTATATTTGGGCATGAGATTAGAAAAGGAAGATACTAGTTGCATAAAGGAATTCCTTTCCTCTACTGTCATCTTTGAATACAAGTTGCACTCATTTAAAATAAATAAGCATAGTGAAACTTTCTAGAAAGATACTTTGATAGAATTCTGTTGTAGATAATTGCTTTTATAATAGATGCATAATTTGACCCTAAAGTAAAAATCCAAATTAATTAACTTTTATTAAAAATAGTGATAGAAATATCTTATGTCACTGCAACACAAGTTTTTTAACTAAACACTCCAATGATATGAATAAAAACAAATCAAATCTTATTCTGTAATTAAACAAAAATTAATCAAGTGAAGATAATTACTTCCATAGAAATGAGACCTACTACAATGGGAAGACCTGCTGTGTTGCCTTCAGAAGTTACACCTCTTCACCTGACACTTCAGCAGGCTTTTCAAACAAGACTTCCCACTAGGCCAGATTTTCTAAATCCTTCTGACAGCCAAGATGGTATTTCAGATAGTCTATGTTCTTCTGTTTATCCAGGAACTCTCCCATGAAGTTTAAAAGATCAGTTTCACTATTCTTAGAAGCCAAGATCTTCAGTTCTTGTTGGACCTTGCTTAACATGTTCTCCAATTACAAAGCAGACTTTAAAGCTTTGTATAAGAAAACAATCTCATTTTTTCTGAGTGTAACATTTAAAACTTTTTAAATATAATAATCTCCAGAATAAGCTTTTGTAATTTCATAAACTATAGGTTTAAAGAATATACTTCTGTAAGAAAGCCAATAATTTTATGTTTTTGTTTTTTTTAATAATTTTAGGTTTTAAAGCATTATTCCAGTGCACTTGATTGGATATTTGATATGCCTTTTTTTTTTTTTTGCCTTTTAATATATTGTTTACTCTCTTTATTTATAACAAATAAGATATTCTAAAATGAATATATTAAAGGACTAAAACTCATATTGCTTAATCAGAAGATAATGATTTGAGGAGATGATAATATAACCATACTAAACTATTTTTCATCCATGGTGGGCCTCATTGCATATAATTAATTTTCTCCATGTGCTTTAAAAATGATTAACAACATCTAGTTCTTTCAATAATTCTGTTAATATCTAAAATGGAAACACAGAAATCATAAGAGTTAAATAAATATTGGTACAGTTAACAGCTTCTGACAAGTTAAGACCCTTATTCAGATTTTGCTCGTCATAGCATTTCATGGATGCTAGAAATACATTCTTTCTGGAATTTATTCAATAAGTTTATGACTTTATGCTAATTTTTCTAAAGAAAAATTGTATTCACCTTTCTTAAAGGAAAAGAAAGAAGGAGAGAAGGAAGGTAGGCAAGAAGGAAGAATGTTCCACTTCCATGCCTGCCTTTTGGGATGTTTTCCTTTGTCTACTTCCTCCTTAAATATAACTGAAGTAGGCACTGTGGGGTATAAACTTTTGGGGACCATATAACTTTTGCACACTGCTTCCTGCTAGTGAAAATTTGGTAACCCAATAGTTATTTTTGGCTTTCACAAGACAGACTCATGTTTTCTTAGGAAATAAATTTTCCTTAGGAACTTAGTAAGCTCATAGTGTCTGCTTCCAGTCTGTTCCATGTACCAGTGACTATTCCCCATGTTCTTTTCCATACACCATTTTTATATCTATGTTGTTACTTTTCATACTAGCTCTGCCTCAGGGAGCCCACAGTGAAATACAGCTCATGGCTTATATACCTTCCACATTCACCCCGGTCCTGATCATGTGACGTTTGTACAATAAGGCATTAGCAAGTATATTTCAGAAAATTGGTAAGTGCTTATAGATTGGGGCTTGATTCCTTGGAATGTGCTTGTTAGAATCCAGATGTGATGAAGAAAAGAAGCTCAAGCTAGAGTACTCAGTAATAAGAGGCCATATGGATACAGATCCTAAAAAATAAAAAAGAGGCCTTCTTGGATGTACCAGCTCCTGCCAGCTCTATGCAGTTACATGAATAACTTCTCCTAAACCTGAAGAAAAGAACAGCCCAGATGATCCTAGGCAACCCACAGAATCATGAGTAATAAGAAATCATTATTGTTTTAAGCTACTAAGTTTGGGGGTGGCTTGTAACACAAGCCACCACCACAAGAGAAATACACTCTTGCTTTCTTATATTAAAGATCATTAGCTTGAGGCCATGTAAAAAAATATGGTTGGAAAAAGATTGGAGTCATCATCTTAATCTCCCACATTTTGGGTCCTAGAGAACTGGACTTTTCAAATCTTTGAGTCCTCTAATCTCAAGACTCTATGAGAATTATAGAATCATTATTATTAGAATTATTCATCTCTCTTTGCAACTTGCTGCATTTTATTTTTGTTTTTTTTGTAATACATTCTAACTGCCATTGTACTAATAGTTGGTTATTTCAACCATTCCCCTAAAACTACTGGCTTGGTAGGATTACCTTCCTAGTTCTTATAAGTGGTAATTGTTCCACCTGCAATTTTTGCTCCCTCTTTCCTTGATTTTAAATTACGAAGCCGGTGGAACATGTTTTATATTGTTAATGGGCACTCCCTGTTCCAACAAGTTGATCTGCTCTAACAAGGAGACCCAAAATATAATTATTCAGTAAGATGGAATTCTGTTTCTCTCTAATGTAGAATGTTTCTTTTCCATGTTAACATTCCGAAAGCTAAGTTTCCTTTCTTCTCTTGTATTTTGATGGTTTGCTTTCGTTTTTTGTGTGTTTGTTTTATGGTCAGCTCATAGAGCACCATCATTATCTGCATCCAGTTCATAACAACATTAGAGAAGAGAGAGTTCAGTTAGAATTGCAGAATATTTAGTTATTTGGGGTCCTAGATATGTCAGTATTAATAAAGTAGGTAAAACTATTTTTTTTCAAATAGTAATAAAAGGAAGAATGGGGGGGGGGACTCTAATGTTCATCAGAATTAAGTGCCTCCCAAGATGACTTATTTAAAAATTTATCCTCTCTTAGAATCTCTATTGCAAGAACTTTTAACTAATTTTAAGGATATTGACATTCTCCTTTAAAAGAAGGGGGTTAGTTCTCTATACAAATTGTCATGTGATGTCTTTTTCTTAAAGCTAAATTCGAGGAAAAAAAGCTATATCATTTTTTCTTTCAATATATACTTGTGTTCTTTGCATGAATATTGAGATCTTATAAATAATTGTTTCACCTGCTCCTACCTCGTCCGTCTCTCATGTGACCACACAAGTTTTTGACCAGATAAATGACAAATTTGTGCCTCAACTTCAAAAAGTGTGCAGTAAATTTCTTCAAAAGCCGAATTTTATGTTTTGTCTTGATCTTGACCCTATATGTGTGCATGGTATGTGCATGCACATATGCATGGTGTGTGTATGTACATGTGTGTGTGCATGTGTGTTATTTTGAATACTGAAAGAAAAACAATAAAAATATAGAGGATTTGAAAATTTACCATATTTTCATGAATAAGAATCAAACATAGCATTATTTTCTCATGTGTTTCAAGTATTTTATGATAAAAGTAATAAAATAAGGAACCCTCCTACACTGTTGGTGGGAATGTAAATGGATACAGCCACTATGGATAAAGTATGGAGGTTCCTTAAAAA